CCCTAACCCTAACCCTAACCCTAACCCTAACCCTAACCCTAACCCTAACCCTAACCCTAACCCTAACCCTAACCCTAAACGACACACAGCGGTTACGGGTCCACGGGTTTTTTCACTAAGTCCACTTCAAAAATTCTTCTTTCGGATATATCTCGGGACCCAGACTAGCTATGACTAAGCGAGGCACACCGTTGAAATCGCAACACTTTTCTCTACAATATAGCTATTTATAATTTCTTCTCTTACTTACAAATACTAAGTGCAGCGCTGTTCTCTTGTCTTGCTGCTTTGTTTGCGCAATATCTCGCTTATCTTACGCGCTAGAGCTAAGCGAGGCGCGGCGTTGGATTCGCGCCACAATTCTGATCAAAATGGTGTGGCTGGAATCTTTCTGCAGTGGCTGTGCGGCTGCAGTCACGTGAGGAACACCAAAACCAACCCCCCAACTTCGCGCCCACATAACTCTTCATCCCGACTAGCTACGGATGATCCGAGGGCAGATTTGGAATCGCACGGCAATTCTGCACAAAATGGCCTCTTCAGAATGTCTGATATCACTTCGGATGGCTGCCGGCAACGGCTTGGGGCCAGGCCTTTGGTTCTACCCTTCGTTCCTTATCAGTTCTTATCGGTACCACCAAAAATCGCTTGGGGCTAGTGGGCCCAAGTACGTTCTCGCGGGTAGTGTCTATTCTAAATTTATTTATAGAGTAGAAGCTAATTCTAAGACTAGAAAACTAGATAGAGATAGTTACTTAATATAATAATAATATTAGTAGTTTTTATAAAGTAGTAGAACTATTACTTATAAGCTATATATAGAAGAAACTCTTTTCTAAGTAGCTATTTCTTAAGATAATTTATAAAAGTAATCTAGAAAACTATCTAGTAGAGTTACTAATATAGCTAGTAGAGAATAAGTTATAGTTTTTTTAAATAGTAGAAGTATATAATTTAGATAATTATAAAAGCGTAGATAGTATAGATATAGCTAGTAATAGTAATAAAAGTAGAAAGTAGAGTATAGATAGAGACTAAAAAAGATAACTATATAATAAAAAGTACTCTATAATATAATATTATACGTAATATACACTACGTAGAGTAGACTTAAAAATATAATATATATAAAGAATAAAAAGTAATAGACTATAATATAAGTACTATTATTAGAACTAGTATAGTATAGTTAATAGAGCGCTATATAAGCTAGCGCTATAAAATAGACTATAAAAGTTATAAACTAAAGAATATAAGTAGATAATACTAATAAGACTAGTATTACTAGTAATAATATATTATAGTATATAGAACTATAGAAGTAGAATAGATCTAACTTAAACTCTAAGCTTTTATTTAAGTAGATAAGTTAAGCTATCTAAGTCTAAGATTATCTAAGATAAAAGATAATAGATATAAAATAGCTATTTTATATATCTTTAGAATAAAATAGACTATATATAATATTATATATCTAGCTTCTTAAGTAGAAAAGAGATTTACTATACTATATAAAAGAAAATCTATAAGTAATAAACTTTTACTAGTATCTTTTTAGGTAAACTATTAGATTATTAGTTACTATTATATTTTTTATTATATAGTGTAGCTATATCTTAGATACTTTTTACTTAAATATAGTAGCTTTCTAATATAGCTTTTTAATATAGTCTTTTAGTATAGTCTTTTAGTATATTCTATCTATCTTTTACTAGAATATAAAAGCCTTTTACTAAAGCTTTATACTATATAGTATATATTTAGAGCCTTTTTATAGCTTATTATAATATTATTATATAGTCTAATACTATAATTTAGAAGTCTTTTACTAGTAGAGTAGAGTCTTTTACTATACGCTATACTATTTTAGATCTAGTATAGAATAAATACTTTAACTAGTTTTTATAGCCTTTAGGTATAGAAGTTAGAATTCTAATATAGTTAGAGAATAAGAAGTAATAGACTATAATATAAGTACTATTATAAAAACTAGTATAGTATAGTTAATAGAGTATAATATAAGCTAGTACTATAGAATAAACTATAAAGGTTATAAGCTAAAGAATATAAATAGATAATACTAATAAGTTAGATATTACTAGTAATAATATATTATAGTGTATAGAACTATAGAAGTAGAATAAATCTAATTTAAACTTTAAGCTTTTATTTAAGTAAATAGATTAAGCTATCTAAGCCTAGAGTTATCTAAGATAAGAAATAATAAATAAAAAATAGCTATTTTATATATTTCTAGAATAGAATAAACTATATATAATATTATATACTTAGCTTCTTAAGTAAAAGAGAGATTTACTATATTATATAGAAGAAAACCTATATATAATAAGTCTTTTACTAGTATCTTTTTAGATAAACTATTAGGTTATTAGTTACTATTATATTCTTTATTATATAGCGTAGCTATACCTTAAATACTTTTTACTTAAATATAGTAGCTTTTTAATATAGCTTTTTAATATAGCCTTTTAGTATAGCTTTTTAGTATATTTTATTTATTTTTTACTAAAATATAAAAGTCTTTTACTAAAGTCTTATACTATATAGTATATATTTAAAGCTTTTTAGTAACTTATTACTATATTATTATATAGTCTAACGCTGTAATTTAGAAGCCTTTTACTAGTAGAGTAGAGCCTTTTACTATACGCTATACTATTTTAGGTCTAGTGTAGAATAAATGCTTTAACTAGTTTTCGCAGCCTTTAGGTGCAGAAATTAGAATTCTAATATAGTTAGTATCGAGCCTCGTAGCTGTTGTCGGCATCGCGTTCCTTGTCGCCGGCCGGTTGCTGCCTCTTGCTGCAAGCGTTGCCTGCTGTGCCTATTGCGTCTTCTTAGCCCCGAGCGTCACCACGGTTGTAGTTGTCGCTATGCTCGCAGCAGTCGCGTTCCTCGCGCTGGTCGTCTCGGCGGTCGCGTTGACGAAAGATGGTTTGTCTGGTCTCTTGCTGAAGACTAGACCGACAATCGTGCTTGCCTTAACAATGGGTATTGGCTATGGCTTCCGAAGCGCAGGCCGAAGATGTGGGTTCGAAAACGTTGCTGACGAGCATGACGGGGCGGAAGTTGTGGAGAAGGCTTTATGGCCATTCGCGGTTGTCTCTTCCGGCAGGACAGTTCGGCGGGCGACGTTGCGGCAGCGGTAGTACTTGGGGACTACACCCTCGATCTTGAGGTCCATCGTCGTCACGTTCTGTCGCTGAAGTCGTGGCGTCCTCGTAGGATTCCCGTTCGCTGGGGTTCATGTGGATCATGAGGCTCTGTCGTGTATCTGCCCAAGAGCGGGCGCGTGCGACGAAGAGTCGGGAGTCACACTGGGGCTGGTCGCGATGATAGCTTGGACTTGAAGCGCGTGCTAGCAAGTCGACGTATCGGAGGCCGCAGAGGACATGCCAATCAATGTCGAGGCTTGATCAGTGTTCATCGCGAGAAGGCCATTGGTGAGAGGCTTGGGCCCTGACGCTGCGGGGACTTTGGTGCGTGAGAAGGCAGCAACGAGGGAAGCTGGCGGTCCCTGAGGCCAATGCGCTCGAACATCATGAGCGCATGATCCAGCTGCCAATGACGTCGCGTGCGAAAGCGTGATGAAACGCGCAGTGAGGAAGCCGGTTGCTGTAGAGGGGAAACGTGTGCGCAGCGGCCGCGCCCAGGGCAGGGCTGCCGACACATGCGCATCCCGCACCTGGGGAAGAGCATGTGACCAGGCAACACCTTCGCGACTGCGTCCGCGTCCGCAGAACGTCTTTGCGGCATACGTTCGCGCCGCCGTTACAACATCCCACCCATATAAGGCGGAGGGCTCTGAACGCAGGCGAATTGCTATATCTCAGCACGCTTGTACTATAGCCCTGGTGCGCTTGAAGGGTGGATGCTGGTGGTCCGACTCGCGTGTTCGGCTGATTTTGGTAGTGGCACTTTCCTTCTCGGTGCGAATCGTGAGGACAGCGTCCCGAAACCAGCCGTTTGGGCAATCGCGAACATTATCAGGCAGTGAAGATTGGATTACTCAGGTACATCAAGCAATAAGACTTATCTCTCCATTCAGTTCGTTCACAGGCGCACGAGGCCAGAGTGTGATGAACCTCCAATGATCTTCGGATCATCTTCCTAGCAGTGAAAGGATGAAACCTTCGAGCACAAAGCTGTCTCGTCGTCCCAAGAGCACCTGCGCGCCTCCATTCCGGCACAAGATATGGAGGTGTTATGATGCTGGAACCGCGGCAACTAGTAGTGTGAGCGCAAATGCCTTGAGTAAGTCGGGTAGCACATAATCGTCGCGTCATGGTCGCGATGCAGTTGACGCGTCGCCTGAGACTCGATTGCATGTTGCCATATTGTGCGGTAATGTTGTCGTACTTCTTCTACAATATGTAATGCGCTTGTGATACAAGAAACATTCCAAATGGTAATCGTCGATGCGCAACAATACAGTTGTGCCCTATCCTTTCGCTGACTGACGAATGCATTCTCCAGAGTACGCGTGTATGGGCCTTCAGCATTGGCACTTTGTGCATGCTGCTGGACGCAAACTTCTCGCATCAACCTTCAACATTTCCGTCTATGTGTGGCCGCTTGATAGGCCGCTTAGTCGAACCGAGCTTGTCAGGTCGCGATGAGGGCGTGGGTGACACGGAGTCCAAGGCGGAGTTATTGATGGTACTGAAGTTGGAACGAGCAGAAGCTCTGGAGGAGGTGGGGGTTCTGAAATTCTTGGAGTTGCGTTTAGCAAAATGAATGCGGAAAGAAGGAAGTGCTTCTTTCAACGAGCGCAGGCGGCCGTCCAGCGCATAGTCGACATGGTTCCATAGCAGCTCTCGCGCTTCGAGAAGGGCCGCCTCATGACGCAAGGTGCAGTCGTAGATGCTCTGCATGTAGTATGTTGCGACGCCGGTATGGTCCAGCTCGCGCCAGTGCAGCCAAATGTTGAGCATCTGGCAATCGCAGGTGAAGGAGATGTGCGCGCATTCGAGCGTTGTCGCAGGTCGATCGTAGGCGATGTTGTAGAACTGCTCGAGGTAGCGGACGATCGCAGTGCCATCGCGTGCGCTCCGTAAATGGGCAATTACCGGCGCTTCGCCAGTAGCGGATGTCCATTGTGAACTGAGGAAAGGGAAGAGGAGTTCAGGGTTGAGCGTGAAGTCGACGAGTGCAGCTTCTTCGTCGGATGCAAAGGCGGCCCTCATGGAGAGACTGATGGCCTGCATAGTAGACATATATCCGATGCAGGTATCGGCCTGAGGCGTCGTCAATGGATCCATGTTGGTGTTGGGAGGCGGAGGGGGCAGGAAGTCTTGGGACAGGTTGAAGTCGAGCTTGCTGGAAACCCTAGCCACTCCATTCCTGACGTTCGAGTTATCTTTGCCAGCGAAGAGCAACAGCGGCTCGAGGATACGTATCGCCGTTGTCTTATTGTCGTACGTGACGGCGAGACGATGCTCTTTGGTGAGGCGGGCGTTGGGTGAGCGAGGGCCGACTCTCTTGCTCTTCAGTACGTTGTTCACATGACTCTTCAGATCTTCCGGCAGGTCGCGTCCTGTATCGACATTGATACCGAAAGCCTGGAGCTTGACGCGCGAGTCCCATTGGAGGCGCGGCGAATATGAAGAGCAGTCAGACGTCGAGTCTTGTGTGGCTGTGCTGGCTGTGCTGAGCGTGTGTTGGCCGAGATTGTCGCTCGTGAGCGGCAGAATAAGCCCTGGGGCATCGAAGTCAGTGTTGACAGGCGACAGCGGGAGACGGCGAGGCGGTATCAGAGGAGCGCGGCGCTTTGCTAGACAGACGTTGTCGTAACAGTCCGACAGAGCAGTGCTGCTTTCGGCGCGCGCGCGCTTTTGCATGTTGACAATCCGGCTAGACCCGAAGGAGGCTCACAGCGCCTACGTCATTCGCGATCGACGGCGTGGTAACTTGACGCTCTCTAGACGGATCCGAGTGTGTTGCGGCGAACCCTGGGGATTGGTGAACCCAACCACTAAAGGTTAAGCTACCTAGGCAGGCAGGACGGTTAGTGAATGGAGATAGCGTCACAGCAGAGTCCCAGGATAACTCCAGCCATGCGCCGAAGAAGCCCTCATCGTTGAACGAGCTCTTTGTCTCTGTCAATTCGTAGGCGTTAGAAGTGTATTGGCTTTTGTTTTGGCGTGCATTAGGCCTCCGCAGGCCACAGATAACGTAGCCTCGCCACGCAAGGAATGCAAGCGGCCAGTTCGCGAACTCCAAGAGACCCAAATTCCAATTTCAAGCTGCTGCCACTTCTTAAGCACATGGCTTAATGACGGGATCTTTATAACCGTTGATCTCCACTATGAAATCTACCGATCTTTGCGCTTGGAGCGATAGAAACAGTGCTTAAGATACCTCGTGTTGATCGAGTTTGGAGCGTAGTCTTTGAGGACTCCAAAGTGGCGCTTCCTAACCGCATTTTCAACAAGACTCAGCACGAATAGATCGATATCGCCTTTCGTTACCTTACAGTGAAGGACACGACTCATAGGTACGCGAGAGGACATCTTCGCCGGCCGCGGGATAATTTTACTACTGCAGCCAACCTTTGCAATCTACTGCGCGAGCTACGTATAGGGACCGACATCTCTTTGGGCTGTGAGTGTGCCGGGGAGGGCTGGAGCGAGAGCTGTAGTATGTGCTATGGCTTGATAGGAACTAGGTCGTTCTGGTGCAAAGTCGCCATCGTCGGTATCAGGTTGGGCATGGTTGTCGTCGAGGTCACGATGTGCCTGCGTGGACTGTGATAAGTCCGTGGCAGTCGCCAAGGTGGGTGAGTGATGGCAGCCCAGCGATTAGACTTTGCAGTCGATCTCGCTGGAGCCTGGTATGAGTAATTGAGGGTGGAGGGACACGGATAGGGTCGCGGTGCAAGGACGACAAGCGGGTGATGTAACGAGCGTTGGGTGCTGTCGGTGAACAGCAGGCGGATGGAAATGGTCCGCAGCCGTGGCAGTCGTTCCAGTTGTAGTAGTCACCGAAGAAGAGGGAACACAATGAACATCGTTCCGGCCGGGGGCGACTGATGTTTCGCTCTCGGGGTGACGAATTTAGACCATGAGGCCGATAGCGCGGTCGCGCGATCACGCGCTCCATCGTCGGAAGGTATGTTTTGATCCAAGGGAAAGAACCTGTTCCCATCCTACTCAACAATAATGGGCTTCGACTAAATTGTTGATACCGGCATTCGGCTTGACGGGAGTGGTGGCGGGCTTGAGGATATATAGGCGATGGAAGATTTAGCAATAGCAAGGTCTCGAGAACTCCTGATCAGCCATTTCCACGTCAGCTGGGCCCTTTCCTCTGGGCCCGTTGGACTCATATCCTGTCGGTCCTTTCCTTTCAGAGTCTGTATCAATACTCTCCCCTTACCCGTCGTCCGTCTCACGTTTATACCCTCATACTCGAACTCCCACCTATGACGACAACTTCCACGATCTTGCTCTTTCATTGCCCGAGAGCGAATGAACCTTCCGCTTGCGGCATTGGAGAAGGAAGCCGACTTGAGCAACATCGAAGTAGGCCTTTAAGTCGCATCCAACTTCTGAACCGCGTCCCTCATCCCGAGATTCTATTCATGAAACCAAGTCGAAGGGAAGTCGTCCCTCCATTGTGCAGTCGCGGCTTGCGAGTTCGAAAGATATCGGCTGGGTAGGTGAATGTGACGGAGGTGGTACGTGCAAGATCCCCACAGAGTATGGCCTCGATGGGAGGACTTTTCGAGGAAAGATGGCATCGCGGCTGGCGTGGAGGTCTGAAGGTCTGTGACGTCAACAACCTGATCATGGGCTCCCTGATGACTCACGGGTGAGTACCGAGAGCGCAATGGCACAATTCAGTCGGTGGAATACGGACGAGACGACCTGCCACAGAAGCGAGCGCGGGGGGGAAGCCCTGAGGAGAATGGGGGCATCTCCTTGGGGAATTGTGACCTGCAATAATCAGAGATCATGGTTGGGGGATACCACTACCAACGACAGCGGGCTGGTCGCACCACCGAGGACGTTGTCGCACCGCTCCCCACACTGCTGCATCCTCGTCATCACAGTACAGCCGGACGTGTGACAAGTCACATCGGCGAGGAGACCAGAGCCCGCGTCCGTCCGCTTATGACATGGCCTTTTGGTCGTCGTGCTCGTTCCGCACTTGTTGCATGGATTGCGATAGAGAGGCTCCCCAAAGCGCAGTCGACTCCATGAAACCGTAGGAAGATTGATAAACGACGAGAAGTTTCAAAGGATCCGTGGCCTACGAGTGTGATGGACTTGCGAAAGCGGCTTACATCCTCATCTCCAAGCGTGCGGAGGATACGGTCGTGATTGTCACCCACAGCGTCTTGAGCGGCGATATCTTAAGAGCTCTGAACGGTAGCAAGCTCGAGAGCATCTTCGTCACCAAGACTATACCCCGTGAGCTCACAAGCTGAACGGCATACGACGAGTCCTCTTTGGAGGTGGTGCCACTGCGAGCTCCAACGCTCATCCATATCTTGCTTCGGCGGACAGCCCACACCTCTCTGTAGGCGCAGCGATGCCGCCAGTAGCTGGTTTGCTCCAGACTGGGTATACGCGTCACTCATGAGGAAACACCGACGTCTGCGCAGAGTGTCCTCCTCACACCAACATAACCATATGCTCCAGCACGAACCGCCCACAGATGACGATGCGCGACTGGTTCTGGGGATCAAAATGTCGTGTTCGCCGCCGATGAAGCTGATGAGCACTGAGGGATGTGCTTGGTAAGTGTCTAAACAGTTAGCATAGAATATTCAAAAGACTGCTCGCGTGTCGTACTCCTCGAAGACATCTCCATTTCACATCACATCAGCAGCACACCACACCCCTTGTCACTCAAGACGTTCAAGTCGTGTTTCCCAAATTTGCCTACCGGTGGTAACCGCCTCGCCATGAGAGTCCTCTAGTTGGTCATCAGCATTGCCTACCCTTCGAATGGCTGAAAACACTGTTTGCAGTCGTGATGCCGAACAGTAGACGAAGCAAGAGGCTTCCGTCGTCCCAAGGTGTTATATAACTCTCTGTGCAACCCTCAAGGCCTCGTCCTTGGTACTAACGTTACCGGTCTTGCTCGTTGACCATTCTCGTCGAGGGCTGAGAGCCCATGATCTTGTAGAAGCCGTAATGCCTAAGGATGACTTGACGCCTTTTAGGATTGCTTGGGTTGTAGGGATTCTTACAAATATCTGGTGACGATAGTAATGGTGCGATGCTCCACCAGGCGCGAATGCATCGTTCTGGGGCGATAGAGCTTGCTTTCCCCGGCGAGAGTATAACCTCCTCCTGGCTTGTTGTCGTTTCAGGGTGCCACGGAGGGGTCGCGATAAGGAGAATTGATGGCAGAAACGCGTGGCCGGGGGTAGTCGAGGGGTATGTGTTGAGACTCTTCACTCATTGTAAGGGCCAGCTGGTTACTGCGCGGCCGGTCCTGGCCTCGAGCGTTGCTGCAGGCGATCACGAACCGTCGTATCGCCATTCAAGTGTCTGAGGGTCCTGCTCCAGGTATAGAGCGTTGGTCGCGAGGAACACAAGGTGTCGGTGACATGGCTGTATGTTGTGTGGGAACGGAAGGACAATGGCGATTGCTGCTGCCGCCGGAGGTTCTGGCGCAGTGCTCAGCGCCTGCCGCCCCGACAGCATTGCCGGACGCTCCAACGTCCGCGCCATGCCGAGAACTCGTACCTGCGCGCCCCGATCGCTAACCTCCAGGGCTGGCTCCCGAATTGCTGTTGGTGTTGGCAGAGAGGGCGGCGTGCTGGCGCGAGAAGATTAAATTGTCGATGAAGGCGTTATGAGGTGCCCCAAAAGCTCTTGCCCGGCTGCTTGGAGCCGGCACCCGGTCTCACTCGAACGCCACACCCAGACGCCACATTATCTCCACGGCGGATACTTCGTTGATTGCAGCGCGCGGGCCATCTTGCACGCAACTGAGCAGGGAGATGACTACCTCATCAACATCTGTGATCGCCTTAACAGTCACCAAGCTTCAGATCGGCGAGCAGAGGTTGACCCTAGAGAAAAAAAAATGAACGAACCGAGGACGACCCGGTTCCTGCAACGAACAAATTCATCGTCTTGCAGGACGCGGATTCTCTTCACACATTCTTCTTCGCTTGCATTCATGGTGCTCTCGTCATCGCAAATGTACGCATGTTTCCTGAAAGTGAGCCGGGAGGTCGACGAGGGGGTCCAGATCACAGGATGGCGAAAGAAGCACAGCCTAGTGTCGACGAGCCCTTCCTCTTCGGCTTGTTAGGCCTCTGCGAAACCGCCTATTCCGATCACTGAATTGTATACATCGCAAACACAAACGACTTTAGCCTCAGCATTGAACTTGGGGTTCACGGGACCGGCACTCGCGTGGACTCGGGAGCTGAGATCGACGAAGCAGGGTCGGTCCAAGCAGAGATCCGTGCGACTCTACCACGCCACCTGACGACATGCTCCAGGCTCTGCAATATGCAATGTGGAGAGCTTAGCTGCAGGACGGTCTGCCTCGCTCAGGTCACCCGTTCGCCGCACGGGATTCAACACATCTCAATGGGGAAGGAAACACATCCGTTGGCAGGCACGAAGTTCGTTGATATAGCAATGACGTCACGGGTCTTTGGAGCCCGTCGCTTGGGGAGCAACGACGCAACGGCGCCACGGCGCGGATGCATGGTTCCAGCTGTGCCGGCACGCCAAAGGCCTACACAAAGCTGAATAGACTATGCAACGGGACATGCGCAGTCGTCACTGCCTGTCGAAGCTATCACCCCGGCATTGGATGAGGACTGAAAGACAAGCTGACCTCTTTCTCATCCCTTCCATTATCCAAT